CCAATAATTAAAAAAAAAGGCAACATCCCCCAATCGGAAAGCAGTCCCCATAATAACTCATTTCCTGGACAGCGCTGGATGATGTCATGATCTGCAGCCACTGCACAGTGTAGTTTCTTATTTGAGCCTGTAGATTTTCTGTCCAGCCATCTCATTGTTGTCAGGTGAGATTCTGCTAAGTGAAAGAGTTTAAGGCCTGGGGGGGGGGGAGGTTGTTGGCAAAGGTTTCTGTCCTGCCCTGTCTTGTAGCTATTCAGCCCTAAGGAAACACACAGAGGCTTACATTAATTATAAACTGGTCAGCCTATTAGCTCAGGCTTCTTATTAACTCTTATACCTTACTTTAACCAGTAATTCTCATCTATGTTAGCCATGTGGCTTGGTACCTTTATCACCGAGGCATTCTCATCTTGCTTCCTCTGTGTCTAGGTGATGACTGCAGACTGAGCCTTTCCTCTTCCCAGAATCCTCTGTGTCTAGGTGATGACTGCAGACTGAGCCTTTCCTCTTCCCAGAATTCTCTGTGTCTAGGTGATGACTGCAGACTGAGCTTTCCTCTTCCCAGAATTCTCCTCTTCTGGTTGCCCTGCTGTCTGTCGGGAGCCAGCCTCAACAAAAAATACCTTTCTCCAGACTAGAGGTGTAGGGATTTAGAAATGTGTAGTAAAGAATATGAAGACACAAATGAAAATAATAAAACGGAGAAACATATAGGATAGTATTGGGAGGGAATTCTTTTAGTGAGTACTGAAAATTTGCCTGCCTTTAATTTCCAACTGCTTAAAATACCCTACCCCAAAAAGTAGGAGTAAGACAAAAGACTGCATTAACATGATACAAGGAATTGAAATATCAATTGAAAGTCATGGGCTACATTTATAGTTAAACATTCTGTTGCTTAGAACAAAGCAAGTCACCTCGCACCCTAGACCAAAACATTCTGTAGGCAAACCACTCCCTGGGTGGAATCCCAAGTTATTTCCATAAAGGGAACTGGAACTTAGTTGAATCCTTAGACTTTTGTTTGAGGTAGGAACAAACTACTTCCCTATTCCAGGAGCAGGTGGTCTGGCAGTTAGCTACACCTGTTGACAATAACCTTGAGAGAGCAGAAATCTCTGCTCAACACCTAGGTGGGACCCTTGTCTGAGGTAGAAGCACAGTAACCTTGAAGGAACTAACAAGTCCCAACTCTCTGACCTTTGGTCAAGAAGGAAATAGGCCTTTTTAGGCCTGCACACCCTGCCTATACTTTTTGCCTGGCTACTGGCCAATCAGTGTTTTATTAAACCAGTACAAGTGACAGATCTTTACAGGGTACAAGAGCATCGTCCCACAGCAGGGGAAAATGCATTGTTCACAGATCATCATACATTAACAGAAAAGAAATACATTTCTTGTGTATATTCTTTGGAAATTTTGTTTGGTACAAACATTAGAGAAACAAGATGAGTATTTTAAAAACATTGCTGTAGGATAAACATAATTTGAAAACGGTCCAAATCGAGTAAATTGTTGTTCTGCAAGAGCGGACTGCAGCCCTGTCCAGACATCCACACACTGCCGTACCGACTCGCTGCTTTTCATGATCAAACTTGCCCTCAAGTCAGAGATGAGACTTTTCATCCGCATACGCTTTCCCAAGTTGAAATTGGCCTGCTCACTGCCCAGGCCTGTGCTCTGTGCCATCCTCAGCTCTTCTGTGCCGTGCTTGCTCCATAAGCTACTTGGCACAGATACCCAAAAATGTCTCTTGAGATTGGAGGTGTTGATGGCTTGTCATGCTTAGAAATTCCCCTGGCTTCTGGTCAGGGTTAAAGTCAGGAAAAAGAAGGGCCTGCCAGCTTCCTCACTCTAGGCCTTGAGTCTTAAATAAAACCTAATGATGTTGGGAATTGATATGTTTGCTACAGTTTTGGTATTCTGGTATCTTTGGATCAATTTCTTCTAGTAAAAACTTTCTTATATTCTCTTAAGAGCAAAGGTACAGGGGAAAGAGGAGGCTGTCACCCCTTGAACTGTAGAATAGGGGGTGTGTGTTCGTCCATCCCAGGAGCCTTGCTTGGAGCCTGAGAGGGAGGCGGACAGGAAGAAAGTCTTTCCCTGGATGCATCAGTTAGGAGGCTCCAGGAGCAGAGATGAGCCGGGCTGCCAGGGTTGGCTTGGGGCCCCCTCCTCCACATTCCTAGCTTCTGCTCTGAGGGGCATCTCTAAGCTGTCAGAAAGAAGGGGTTCCTTTGCCTTTTAGAGGGTTATTACTACCTTTGTCCCCTAGGCAGCAAGTAGTTTTCCTGGGAAAATCAGTTCCATGAATGTGGCTCCGAAAGCTGCAGCTGAGCGTTCAGGGAAGTCTGGGTCACACAAGAGCATCCTGTGTCTGCCGCACCCCATAGGGGTTTCCTCTGATGTGTTCGGTGCTCCTCGCAGTTACCCTCTAAGTGAACGTACAAAATAAGTAGTTCGGTATTTGAGGGCCTTCAAATTGAATACCCATAAAATACCCATCTTAGCATGATAGTACAATAAGGACCTGTGTGCTTGGAGTTCATCCTTGGTTCAGACTACTTCCATGGAGCACAGACCTCTAAAGAATATGCAAGTGTCCACAGGAAAGGATGGGTAACCTCCGTTGGTGGCCAGGGCAAGTTTGACTTGGCTATCCAAATTTATTATGTGATAATCTGCTTTATAAATTAATTTAGGGAAGCCTGTGAATATTTTTATATAGGAGAATGAAATTAAATCTCAGGCTTATTTTATGTGTTGTATCAGATCCTTTTAGAGGTCAGGATACGTGTGATCCCACTTCCTGCTTCATACTAGCTGCTCCGTGGCCATGGGTAGATGTTAGTGATGGTGCGGGTATAGTTCTGGAGTCTGAGAGTAAGCAAGGGATGGCATTCATGCCAACCTTTCCCTGTCCTTTCCATGTTTAGTTTGTAAAACCGTGACTAGTGCGGGGCACCCACTAGGCATATTGAGTGCCTACTGTGTGCACTAGACTGATGTAGGAAGGAAAATCACCATTCTCTCTACCCATGTCTTAGATTCTTTTTCTATTATGATAAACACCAAAAAGCAACAAGGGGGAAGAAAGGGTTTATTTCAGCTTATGGTGTATCCTGAAGAAAAGCCAGGATGGGCACTCACAGCAGAGACTGAAGCAGAGGTCCTGTAGGGATGCTCCTTCAGGCCTTGCTCAGCCTGCTTTTCCATATAACCCAGAGCCACCTGTCCAGAGATGGCACTGTCCACAGTCTTCAGGTCCTCCCACATCAGTCTTTAATCAGGAAAATCAGACTTGCCTACAAGCCAGTGTTAGGGATGTAGTTCCTCAGGTGATGTTCCCCTTCCAGACGACTCCATCTTGGGTCAAGTTAGCAAAAGCCTAAACAGCACAGGGCCCACCTAGACTGGACTGGATTTCTTTGTAGTGCTACTGTGGGTCATGCCTCTTCTAGACACTTTGCATGGATTCTTTAATAAAGAGAATCTGCCACACGGCTGCCTGCCCTTTACAGATGGGCGTCTGAGACCAGGCACCAGGGCCGAAAGTGCTGGAGCCCGTCAAGCTCTGCACTGGGCAGAATCTTTTTAAATGTTTTCAGTTTCTTTTCCACTAGTATGTGGTGGTGATGGGTGAAGGCATGTTCATGCCATGCCAGCATGGGGAGTCAGGGCACTTGGGGGTCAGTTCTCTTTCCGCCATGTGCCGTCCAGGGCTCGCACTCTGGGTATTGGACTCATGGCAAATGCTCTTCACTTGCTGAGCCATCTTGTTGGTCCACAAACTCATAATCTAAAAGGACAAAAAGTAAGGGGTTCTAAACAAAAGGGGGTGCTGACAGGCCTAAGGTGTGTGGCAGTCGTGGGTAGCCAAAATTAGAAGGTAAACTTGGAGTGGGTGTGCCTTCCCACAGGTGTCAGAACAGATGTCACTGTGCAGCCCAGGGTCACCGTGGCCACCTTATTTCAGTCCCACATTTAGAAAGATATTTGTCAGAAGTCAGTGCCCCTTTTGTCCACATGCCACAGCAGAGGGAGCTTGGAGCTACTTCTGGAGCCCCCTTTGTAAGCCCCATAAACTCCTGGGAGCTGGGTCTCCCGAAAGCCTTTTAGGGGTTATTGTTTCTCTCTCCTTCTGTCCTTTCAGGGTTTTGTCTGCATCTTTGCAGCAGGTTGGTCAAGTATTGACATCAGGCCTGGCATAGTGGTGTCACGTGCCTTTAATCCCAGGACAAGGAGGTGGAAGCAAACCCTGTGGGTTTGGGCCAGCCTGATCTATACATAACAATTTCCAAGCTAGCTCTGGGTACACAGTGAGACCTTGTCTTAAGCAAATAAAACCTTTTGAGACCATAGGCTATAGTTTATATTACCAATAGATTCCTGGTTTCTGTGTCCACAAATAGAAGCACTGTTAAAATCTGTGGACAGTTTGCCCATCATAGTAGTTAGATGAAGAAAACACAGAAGAATATGGAAAGGAAGCCTTGAGACAGAACGTGTGCCAAAGCAAGAGGGAATGTGAGGTGATGCTGAGAGGGCAAAGCGTAATCATTCTCTGGACTGTTATCCAGAGCTTGGGGAATAGAGGAAGCCTCCTGGAGAGAAGTCCTGTGGCACACATGAGCCTGCCCATGCACAACAGAAGCAACCAAAGCCTCTGGAGGCTGTAAGACAGGTAGCCTACAGAAAGGTGCGATCCCCAAAGCCACTGGGAGCTGTGTGCCTCTCACAATAAAAACCCATATCTGGCTCTTCACGCATCATATGTGCTCATGTACACATGTGTTAGTGTGCACATGTGTTAGTGTACCAGGCTGAGAGAGAGCAGGGGAGTTGTAGGGCCTCACTCCTTAACCCACGAGGAAAAGGAGTAGCCTCCACTTGCTTGCATTATCACTGCAAGAGGTGTGAACAGGGTAGACTGAAATTCTTCATGTGTGCACCGTTCTCAACACAGTCAAGTAGGCATGGTGACAAAGACATGACTTTGACAGTTCTGTGACTCCAGATGTAGAAATGGCGAGGATGCTGTCTGGACGTCTCCTGACTGTTGGGTCTCGCACACAGGTGGCTTTGCAGCTGCGGTTACTACACCTTTGGATGTGGCTAAGACAAGGATCATGCTGGCCAAGGTGAGTATCAGATAATGCAGATTTGATGCCGTATCTGCTATCAGGCAGAGCTGTAGGGATGCAGTGACCAGAGTACCTGCCGACCCTTGGGAGATGCTGACAGTGGGAGTGAGCACTGTCACCGTGATGGAGCTGTGTGTAGCATGCTGCCATGTCACAAGCATCCTCACAGCTGCACTCTGTAAGCGGCAGACCTGAGCTTCTCTGCCTGCGACTGTTTTCAGACCTAAGACTCGAGAACTTGACTGGCTTCATGTTCTTCATGCAGACTCAGAATTTAGTTATGGTTGGCTGTGACCAGAAGACAGTTGTCAGCATTGCTAAAAACAACAAAACAAACTCCAGGCTGAGCTTTAAGGAATTTCAGTAACATAACTGAACCAAGCATTCTCTCAGAGTCCAGGTCTGTAGGAAGCGGAGCAGTGTGAGCAGAATTCTAGTCTACGGACAGGATCAGCTCTGAGAATGGGGGATTTTAAAACTGCAAATGGCGTTCCTCACTCCTGTCAGGCCTTAAAGTGAGACCCCACCCCACCCCATCAGCCAGGTCTACTGCTTCCCATCGGCTTTCTGTTGAACAGTTGCTATTGGTTCCTAGGTGAGCTCTGAGAAGGGGCTTCCCTGAGGTGTTTGTCTGCCTCTCTGAACGTAGGCAAGATTTCCAAACCAACCCGAGTGTGCCTTGAAGGCAGGTGAGGGGAGCCTGTTCAGAGTACTGGGAGCTAACAGCCCTGTCTTTCCTATCTTCTGCAGGCGGGCTCCAGCACTGCTGTTGGGAATGTGCTCTCGGCCATGCATGCGGTGTGGCGCGCACAGGGACTAGCAGGGTAAGGACGAAGTCAGCCCTTATCTGCCTTCTCTCCTCTTCCCTGGCTCTTCCTCAGATCTTGGGCCTGCCATGGATGACATGCAAATGTGTAACCCTAGCTGTATTTGGGCTCCAGCATTGATACAAATAAGTTCTCACACAGTGTAGATGTGAAAGTGAGTTTAGAAGAAAGTGGGGCTTGGGTGTTTGTAGCCACTTTTTTTTTTAACCTGTAGTCTTTTTTTAATGTATACAGTGTTCTGTCTGCATATATGCCTGCAGGCCCGAAGAGGGCACCAGATCTCATTACAGATGGTTGTAAGCCACCATGTGGTTGCTGGGAAATGAACTCAGGACCTCTGGAAGAAAAGCCAGTGCTCTTAACTGTTGAGCCATCTCTCCAACCCTTGTAACCACTTTTAAGAACCGTTGGTAGCCATGCCGTGAGATGGGCATTTGCTCTACATCTATAGGTTTATTTTGTTTTATTGATGGACAGTTTCGTCACTGTGCAAGTGTATCATACAGTGTTCTCACACAAATGTAGATGGTGTGACACACACCTGGAGGGAATACTAGCTGCAAGTACAACATGTGACTATCTTGGAAATTATAGTTGTAACAGCAGTAAATGTATATCTGGAGATATACAAATAGAAAAAAACTATTTGCAGCCACATCCGCATCCTACAGGACCAGCAGGACCTGGCTGTGCAGCCTGCTTTTCTCTGAAGTGTTACCCAGCTCACAACTGTACTGGCAGTTCCACCGCGGTTGGTCTCAGCTTGGCAGTATTGTTCTGTGTTAATAGCTAAGAACCTCAGTCTTTCTCTTTGCATATGATGTGCAAACAGGTGTATTGCCCTCATTGTGTGCCTGTAGATGCCAGAAGCTGGGGTTGGGTGTCGTCCTCATCAGGCTCCATCTTGTTTTTGAGAGTCTTTTTCTCAGAACCTTGAGCTCACCATTTTGGCTACAGCAGCTGTCTGGTGAGCCCCAGATCAACCTGTCCCCCATGTGTTAGGTACAGGTGTATGCCGCTGCACCTGGCTTTTATGTGGGTGTTGAGGACCTAAGCTTGGCTCTTCAAACTTGCATATTTCTCTCCAGCTCCACGTGCTTCAGAATATCTTGCTTTATGTCCTAAACAGCTGTTATTCTACACCCATATAGTTGTTCTGAAGCTGAGCAAATGCTGAGATGTTAGCAAAGAAGGATTTTCCACATGGAACCTTCTTGATAATGTGTGCAGAGTCCTCAGCAGCCTCCTTTGGAGAAGGAGGGTGAGCTGGCGCTGGGATGGCTGGGTAAAAGCAGCACTGTATGCATAGCTGAGCCCTGCCTACCCTCAGCCTCTTCACTGGGCCCTGCTGCCTGTCTCGTCCCCATCCAAAGTACATCAGACTGCGTTTTTGTTTCAGCTGTCTGATAGTCTGGGGAATGTGGTCATGCTTTTGCCAGAGAGCAAACCTATTGTCTTGTTTGGGTTTTCCAGCTGAAAGTGGTAGCCAGTGGCTTTACTGAATGTCCCGCTCCAGTGGTCTGAGATACAGGCTGGCTCTGGTGGACAGGACAGACTGACGGATTCTTGATGTCTCAGCAGTGACATGGCTGACACCTTATGAGGAAATAAGACACGATAGTCATTCATTTGGGAGCTAATTCAACTCTGAACAAAGAAATGGAGGAGGGGAAATGGCTGAGTCCCATATACACTGTTTGGGAATCCTCTTAGATAAGTAGTGGCTGGCCCACAGAAGCAGCAGCAGGAGACAGTGGCTTTTGACATCATAAAGGCCACCTGCCAGATGTCAGTCTCATTTCCACATGTTAGCGTCTGTGGTGACTCAGCCAAGCCTCTGACCGTGGTGTTGTAGAGCTGCAGCCATTTGCCAGTGTTGAGAAAGTGGTGACAGGGACGGCATAGTGGCTGGGACATTGCCCCACCATGGTGATGCAAGGACCAGGTCACAGCACACATCGACTAAAACTAAGCAATGTCAAAACTACAGGCAGAGGAGAGAAGGAAAAACAGGTCAAGGGTGGATGTTGGGTCTGACCCAACCTTGGCGCTGAAAGGTAATTTAAATTTTTGTCTGTCTTCTGAGTCTCCACTCTGGGGCCACCACGTCCAGCTTTACATGGGTTCTAGACTTGAACGCAGGTCCTCTTGCTGGCACTGCAAGCACTTTACCCTCTACACCACCTCTCCAGCTCCCTAAATGGCTTATCAAAAGGGGCCCCGTGATATAAAGTCCTTGCTTTCCTGTGAGGTGCCAGATAGAAGGGTGGGACAGCTGACTACTTCGGGTGGTTATGCAGGATGGGGAGGCTGTGTAGCCAGCAGGGACTCCCCGTCAATGTCCCACATCCTTAAAAGGCATGAGCATTGGCATAAGAACACAGTTGCCCTACACCCAAGTCTCTCCACTAGTGTGCACATATGGATATCAAACCAACTGTGTAACTGGTTCGCTCCTTCTCCAGGGATTGAGCTTGGATCATCAGGCTTGATAGCCAGCATCTTTAACCACCTCACCAGCCTAAGTTCTGATTTCCAACTTTGTCTTTCTGCATATAAAAGCACTTTTCTAGGCAGCAAGGTTTCAGTAGAAAGAAGAGGTCTTCTGCCCCTTCCTCCTCTGCAGAAATCAGTTATTTACAGCCTAGACCATGTCCTGTGTCCAACAGCCTGGTGATCACACAGCCTAGACCATGTCCAGCTGCATGCTGTTCTACTGGTTTACAGTGCTGGCTTATCTAGTAGGTCATTAGCAGATTACTTTTTTTCAGTAATGTCACAGTGGATATTTGAAGAATATCTGAACCTCTAGAACAGTTCTTCTCAACCTGTGGGTTGTGACCCCTTTTTTTGGGGGGGGCTTGAACAACCCTTTTACAGGGGTTGCCTAAGACCATCAGAAAACACAAATATACATTATGATTCCTAACAGTGGCACAATTACAATTGTGAAGTAGCAATGAAAATAATTTATGGTTGGGGGTCACCACAGCATGAGAAATTGTATTAAAGGGTCACAGCATTCGGAAGGTTGAGAACCACTGATCTAGAGAGTGGGTCGCAAACACCACGGTTCTAATTGGACTGGGATGGAGCACTGGAGTGTCCAGGACTGCCATGTATGAGGTGCTCCCTCTCCATCACAGTCATGTGCCTCTGGTGTCTTTATGTAGCCTGAACGAGATGCATTTCCGTCTTGTAGAATCACATTTGGGAACTCCAACAACAAAGTGCCACTGAGTCACCAGGACAAGTAGAACTGTTTAAGAACTTGTTTTGCTTCCCTGAACTGAGACCCAGAGACCCCTCAGGTGTCCCACTGGGATATACCCTTCCCAGCCTGACCTCAGATTTGTCCCTTTGACTCCATTTTTAGAGCACCATGTTGGGACAGTGGTTACTGTCTTCACCTGAGAGCTCCCAGGTAGACAGGATAGCATTCAGCCATGCTGGACTGGGCTCCAGATTCTCATGCATACTTGGGAGTGTACTTAGTGGTTTCTGAAAGGAAGGGAACACACTGTTAAGTATCTGAGGGATTTGACAAGTGGGTGTGCTCAAGTGAGCAAACCATGGTTTCTGTTCCTAGGTTATTTGCAGGTGTCTTCCCACGAATGGCAGCAATCAGCATGGGCGGCTTCATCTTTCTGGGTGCCTACGACCAGACCCGCAGCTTGCTGTTAGAAGTGGGTAGGAAGAGCCCATGAAGCAGACACTGCGTGTCCCTGGAGAAGAGGGATGCTGGCTGCTGTGCAGCCCCTGCCTTCCTGTGACTGGCGAAGTCGACGCTGCAGTGTGGCACCTTGAGAGGGCTGCAGAGTGCAGCCCTGAGTGTCGTCCATGGAAACTATCCTCGGTGGACCTCCAGACCAACATCTCCACCCCTTAATAAATACTTCAGCGTTCTTGTTTGATCAGTGTCCTTTGCCTCCCGCTATCTACTGAGTCACTAAAATGCAAGCGAATGGCTAGACTGGGAAAAGGAAGGAGGCTGGGGCAGGAAATGTGCGTGTGGGTGTTTCTCCCCTGGGCTAATTCCTATTGTGTAAGATTATAGCTTTGTTTAAAAAGCATGAACTGCAGGTGCATAGCATACATTCTTTCTGGAGACTGCTGTTTTTAATTACCCTTGTATTTCTCATATAAAAACACATGATTATATTATTTTACAGCAGAGTGCCCCAAAATCCCTAGTGTGAGAGACAGCTGCAGCACCAGTGACTGAGTGGGTGGGCAAGCGACTTTGCTGCAGGACGTGAAGCCCCATGACCACCACCGTCCTCCCGGGAGGGCCAGCTAGAGCTGTTCCTTTGTCCTCATGGTGAGTGCAAGCAACACTGGCTGCAGGAGGGGAGGCCCAGCATATTCGGGGAGCACAAGGCTTAACTAACCAGCTCCAGGTAGCAGAAAACTAGTGAGCCGTCCGAGGAATGTGGCGCCGCTGCACTTCTGGGGCGGCAGTGTCGTCTGTGATGCTCTTAAGTAGTCTCCCTTTGGGGAAAAAGTATTAAAAGGCAGAATAACTGCACTTAGAACAATGACCATAGCACACACTTAGTATTTATAAATGAACCTTTATTAAAGACACTTTAATGCCATTTGTTAGACACTTCAATATCTTACATGTTTTCAATGTACACTGTACCAAAATTTCTATAAATAAATAACTCTGTACATAAAAAGTAATACTTCCTCTTTCACATTGCCTCTCAGAAGCAGCAAATTCACATATTTTGTGGAAGTAACATTAATCAGCCAACTGTGGAGAATAAACTTCTGTGCTTTGTCCTGGGACACAGTGGTGACCTGTGACATGGCAGTACACTGTCTCAGGCCATCACTGTGTCAACACTTCCCTTCAGCTCTCAGGGATTTTAAAGACTGAGTTTGCTTCCATGTTGTTTTTACTGAATTACACATTGGCACTCACAAGATGGTTAGCAACAGGGCCCCAAAGTGCAAATACACCCAGGCCTGGGACTCAGTCGTGTATAGTCCAAGCCCAGTTTCACTATATGAGGGAACGTTGTGGACAGACCTGCTGGGCAGAAATCAGCTGGCCTAGAAGTGAACTACTTTTAAACCCCACTGCAATGCTGTATTGGCAGAACTAAACCTCACTATTGGAAAATCCACAGGTGCACCCACACTGGCAGCCTCTGCCTTAATAAGCTCCAAAGACCCACTGAAGGAGACAAGACATTTGCTTTACCAAGTGAGTTACAAAGACGAAAGGCAGTGCTTGCTTGTTCCGAGCCATTGCTTTTGGTGGATTGACAGCCCTCAACCTCTTCCTCAAAGACAGACCCTGAACCTAGAAGAAAGGCAAGTGACACGTGTGCCCCACTCTACAAGGCCAGACAACAGCTACACAGGTCTGGCCAACGCACCTGAATCTGACTAAGGGAGCAAGCACATAGCCAAAATGCCCTCCTTCCCAACCACCAGCAACAGCTAATGTGGTTTTACCTGAATTTCAGCTGTGCATTAAGGCACCAGAACTATTCTTGACCCTCTCCAAAATTAGACAGCAACCTAATGTGAAAATATCACTGAAGGCGGGACCCATGCGCTAAGGATTAAAATAGTCTCTGTAAAAGATATATAATATATATGAAATCTCTGAAAACTCTTATGTACAACGGTATCAAATACTTTTCCTGCCTTTTGTACACAAACAGTCTCTTGCATTTCTGTGCTCCAGATGCCAAGTCCTTTAGCCAACTGACACTCCACATGGAAGTTAAAACTGTCCAGAGTGACTGCCGTTTGGACACAAACTTCCCACAGCTTCTCCTACCTCTTCCCTGTAGCAATTGCTTTAAACGAGCTGAGGTAGATGAAGCCTAGCTCTTCGGTGCCAATAGCAATGGTCCCCTCCGTTTCCCAGTGAGCTGTCCTGTCAGCGGCATAGACTCGGGACTAGAGTCACAGGCCTGGGGGAGGTGGCCGTTGGAAACAAGCAAGTGCTGGGCTTCAGTAGATATGGCATCTTCTATGAGCTCTGGGCTGCCTGAAGTTAACGTAGGAGAAGGCTGTAGGTCTATGGAGTCTGGTGCATGTAACTTTGCTAAAGTCCAAGAGGAATCTCCTGTTTAAGAAAACATGAGGGCACGTTAGCCTGTGCACATTAACCCCATTTGGGCTCCCAGCCCACGGCAGACATGCTTCTTAACACGATACTTACCTTTCCCATCTGGGGATGCTGCCTTGTTCTTCAGAGACAGTAGTATTCTGTCATGGTTACTCGGATAGAGGGATCCTCCAGAGTGGGTGTGAGACCCATCAGCAGTCCCAGGGTAAGGATGGTGTGGAGAGGATTCTAGGTCATGCTGCCTGAGCTCTTGGCTGCTTGGTGTACCTGGCCGTCCACTCTCTCTGGGCACAGGCTGGGGATGGAAGGCTTGTTCCTTGGGCTGACTATCCGTATCAGTATTGCAGTCACCGCATACAGCAGAGCCACTGTGTGCTGAATGAAGCGCAGAGCCAAGGGTCAATGGGAACCAGAGCCACTGAAGCCCCCATCCCCTCTCAGAGGCCTGAGTCCTGTTTACCACTGTAATGTACACATGGAGAGGAACTGGGCCCACACCAAGTCCTGGTCTTTTGTGCTTAAGTGAGCACCTGAAATTAATTTAGGATGCACACTTTGATCACAGGAAAAATGAAGGGAGAGTAAAAGGGAAGATTTGCATTAGGCATCACATAGTGGTGAATCTTCTCAACTGTCTTCTAAGCCTTAAAGACTCAGGCAGTGGGGCTGGGAGTGGCTCAGCAGGTAAAGTGCTTGACGAGCATAAGGATCCCCCAGTACTCCTGGACATGCCAGGCAGTGTGGCGGCCTATCTGTAATCTAGGGCTTGGGACGCAGAGGCAGGAAATCCTAGAGCAAGCTGGCTAGCTAGAGTAACTGATCAATGAGCACTGGGCTTAAGTGAGAGGCCCTGCTCAATACATAAGGTGGAGAGTGACTGAGGAAGACACACCAACCTCTGTCCAGTGGCTAGCATCTCAGAAGGCTGAAGACAGCCTGGACTAAAAGTGAAACCTTGTCTGGACAAACCAAGACAGTCTGGGTGCAAGGATGCTAACTTCCATGATTTGTGGGCCTTGCCCTGTAAGCTCCTTACTAATTTAAGAAAACTCACACTTCTGCTCGCCACACCAGACTTACCTAAGACACACAGGACTCTGAAATCAAAGGAAGCCAGAGCTTCCAGTTTGTTTTTGGAATACAATTCAGAGACAGTATGAGACCAGTGATGTGCTGCTCCTCAACTTACTATTCAGTGTCAAAAGCAATGGCCTTCCCTGTCAGTGCCTCCTACCTGCTGTATGTGGAGCAGCGGTCCTGTCGGCTTTCTCCATCACTTTCCAGGGCTCTCTAGTATATCCAACACACAGCTTGGGCTGCCGGCATGTAATGCTGTGCACATCAACCTCTGGGAAGAGGCTCGAGTCTCTCAGACACACACCTGAAATGAAGCCCCTTCTTAGGTCTCTCAGCCTCTAGAGGACAGGCTACAGCTCCTTCCCAGCACCCATCCCTTGGCACCCACAGGGGATTGGTTCCTATGCTCCTCAGAGATGCCCAAATCCAAGGATGGTCAAGTCTTTTCTGTAAAATGATGCTGTTTGCACATAACTGTTCATCTGTGAAGACTTTACGACAGCTCTACTAATAGTGCCCGGTAACAGTGGAAAACCTGCATATTCAGTACAGACACAACTTTTCTTTCCTGAATTTTCAATCTGTGCTTGATTGAACCACCACATGCAGAACACCAGCAGTACTGTAAAGCTGGTTCAGGACCCGGAATATTCTTGGCATCTACTCTTCCTGGCAATCCTTTCTTGATTGAAGACATAGTGCTAAGCCCAGTGTAGGGACTTCTGGAGGACCAGATGTTAAAACTACAGTACTTGTACACACCAGATCCAAAGCAAAGCATCTGTCAAAGACTTGGTTCACCACATACGACACAGGTGCCCAACCTACCCCGGTGAGGAGGTAAAGCAGCGTCCAGGACATAGTCAGATCAGACTGCTTCACTGTTCTTGAACTTACCATTGCTGTCAATGTGCGCACTGGCCTGATGGCCACCTTCCGTCCTGACCACAGTTTCCTGCCGGTCAGAAAGGGTTCCCTGCGAGGAGAGGTAGCTCGGCACATCTGGAGGCACTATCGTTTCATCTGCAAGAAGACATGATGATGAAACACCAGGGCAGCTGCCACAACCAATACAGAAACACATGTGCGGTCACACAGCAGTGGCCCGGGAGCTCCGCAGACTCAGCATTGCTGCTTCACCTCCTTTCTATCCTGTGGTAAAAATGGAGGACCTAACAAAATCCCAAGGCTGTGAGAGCTTGGGAACAACCTGATTCATGACAACAGGCAGGGCCCTGACGCCTCTGAATCGCCATGGAGACCAGAAACTGCAGGGGCCAGCAGATGCTTGAATTTGAGAGTGTTCCAATTTCCTGTTATGTCCTTCAGAGTTGACATGTTGGGAGGGGGTGGCAATGCCTCAACTCTATCTACAGACAGAATCCATATTCCTAAAGATTCTAGAAGTCTCTTAGGTTCTCGGCAAAGCCTCAGGGCTTGTGTAATCCATGTTGGACTGCGGCGCTCACTACTTTCACTCCCCCCTGAAGAGCCTGCCGCACTGCTGACGTGTGTTAGTGTGAGTGCCACACTGCTGACCTGTGTTGGTGACGCTGTACTCCTCATTCTTCTTCCTGGTCTGGTAGATGATGCACACCCACACCAGCGAGGTAAGCACGATGCTGCAGACCACAGCGATGGTGAAGATGCCTATGGTGGTCCCATCCTTCCGGCAGCCGGGGGTGGGCAAAATGCTCAGTTGGCTGTGTGCTCGCTCGGTGCCCAGGGGATTAGACATCTCACAGGTGT